CCTCCCCCCCCCCCCCCGTACATATTAAACAGAGCTATGGAAACATTTTTTTAAAAAAAGCCTCAAACTACCAAAAAGCTCAATGATTTGGCACAATTTTTACTCCAAATCAAGCAAAACCAGAGAAATTTCACTTTGAGGGCTCGGTTCATACAAACTCAAACCTGAAACAGGAAATGAAACACAGAGGGTAAATGATCTCAGAGAGAAACAACGACAATTAACTTCCAGTCTGAAACAACCGATCCTTATACATCCCTGATGCTTCTAAATGTGTAGGCTGTATTTGACCTTATAGTACAGAAAACATGAAAACTCAGGATGCAACCTTGTAAGTGCTACAAATGCCTCTCTCTCAAATGGGTTTGCTTCTAAAATGCAGGTGAAAGGAGCAGAGCGCAGGCCAGACCCACTCGTGCTCGGTGAAAGCTCCATGCATAAAACATACCCAGAACTGGGCTCATCATAAAATGTTTCCAAGAAATGGTGGCCATCCAATTTTTTTCTCCTGTGTGATGAAATATCCTTTGGCCGCACCGATGTGTCTATCAGAAATACTCTGACAAAATGCTGACGTGGTATTAAGTCTCCCTTGATTTACAGGCGTTTCGTTGCAATTGAGTCAAACGTATTTTACTAGCATAACGCAGACTGGAGCAGGGGCTAATTGCAGTAGCCAGAGTTGGTACTCGTTGGGTGCAGTCGGAAAGCAGTCTGACACTTCCTAACAGGATAAGTCAAATGGATTTTGTCATAATATCAGGCAAATTGATATATTAGCTCTCCACACACGCAGGGCCACATCCTCACCTGGTGTTGTTAACTGAAGGAGCCCCATTGAAGTCAATAGAAGTCAAATGTTTTACACCGCTGAATGATGGACCTCAAAGTTGGGGGTTGATAATGCAAAGTCCAGACCATCTTCAGTGCCCACTGAAGTTGGGGGAGGCAGAGGGTGCCCTGTCAGACTGAGCCTTGAAGGCCAAATCCATTGATTTCCCTCCCTTGTTACTTTGGGGATGTTCAAGTTGCCAATGGGATACACTGTCTGGGCTTTTTAAAATTCATATTCAGTCGTAAATGAAATTAAAGCCCGTTTAGCCGCAACCAAATCGGACTTGCTCTAATTCCATCAGGCTGCTTTGAATTTTTTTAACTTACAGTCATGGCTTAAAACTAATTGAAAACACACGGCAAAGTTCAACTGAACCTATTCCTCCCTCCCCCAGCTCCCTTTTCTTTTTGAGGTGAGACGTGAATATGGGTGCTGGATTTCCAGGCTGACACGCATTCACAGACATCGTAGGCTAATTCCTATTAAAATAGGAACCGATTAGATCACCAGACAGTTTTAAAAATGCCAGGACATAACTAAATGGATCCTTTGCAGATGATGACTTCAACATTTGTTTTCTCTGAGATCAGGTACTTTCTGAGTCTACTAAGTGAAGCACAAGCTTTGACCGGTGTCACAATAGCATTTTTCTGAAATGCAAAGGGAAAAAAAACTCTCTAAGAAACTCATCTTTCCCGTGTTAAACTGGAACTTTTAAATGGAAACCTGGGGCTTTTTCTTGCTTTTCCTTACCCCATTTTTATGTAGGTATATTTTTTATGGATGTCAGGGGCATTTTTCCTCATCTTAACACCAAAGCAAATGGGTGCTTACTCTCACTGCAGATTTGCACAGTGAGAGATCCAAAGATGAAATCAAGTGCAAACCCATGCTGGGATCTTCTCTACATCAGGATTCAAGAAGTCAAATGAAGAACAATTATTGAAGTATCAATGTTGTGGGGATACAAAAGCATTAAATACTGTAACCACCGTGATTCTTGGTCACAGCAGAGGGACGAATTTATCGTGCTAACTGGTGTCAGAAGAAACTTTTGAACAGGCTAGGGTGCCCCAGATTATCTTCAGATGGATCCGTTCCTCTCACTCAGTTTCCCTGCAGTTGCTCAGGCACGGACTGATCTCAGCCCATCCTGTCTTCTGTCACTGTATTTCATCAAATTAATGTTGAGTTTGATTTTTCCTATCATTTATACCAGGAAAAGCATTTGGGCCCATGGTATCACTCACTGTAATAGGGAAAGAAGTGAAAAGAAAATTATACCTGTTATTTGTGATGGTATTTTTCATTGTTTTGTCACCAGCAAGCAGGCTGTAGCTCTCTGAGAGTTATAGCAAAAACCGGGGATGGTTTGTAACCCCACTTGGAATTTCTACAGCGGGCTTTCCCCTGATTTTCCAGTTTCTTTGGCTTTGCTCAAGTTACAATGGCCAGTATCATTCCACGTGACAGACAATATATATATGTGCCACACGATGGGAGTCCAATACGCTTTAATCAGCTTCAGTGCAAATTCCACTATGACTTATTTTTAAGGAAGGGAGCACAAGCTTCAGAGCCTGAGATTTTGCCTTCAGGCAGTGCCATGAGCAAGAGGTGGAGCATGTATTATGCCCCTCCAGGAGGGACTATGTCTCAGAAACACGCCTCTGAGAAACAGCTCCTCTCCAGCACCACTTTTCTGCTGGAGGGAAGGATGCCATGCTTCCTCTTTGTAAAACCATGGCTCTACCACTATACACCAGCTGGATGCCAAACTCACAGCCCTTCCTCTTGCCCCCTCACTTGCTCCTGGGAGAAACAGGGCACAAATGGAAGGGAAAGACTCACTCTTCCTCCTGGTTATAATCTCGCCTTTAATTAGCAACATAATGGAGATAATTTAATTAGCAACATAATGCACTATCCACTAGTGCAGGTGTGCAGTCTAAGACATGGCTCCTAGAGTGCTAGAGGGTGAAAGCCTCATCTTCAGCAAATGGCAGAAGTTACAGTAATTTGGGAGCCCAAGTTTAATTTTCAGAAGTGACTTAAACCCCAAACTTAAATCATGTTACCCAAGCTCACATGTGGGAAAGTAGTACCAAGGGCATCTGAAGCAGATCTTTCATGACTTGGTATTTCATATGCACTGGTAATACAGGTTTAATAATTGCATATGCACTGGTAATACAGGTTTAATACTAGGCCATGTGGTGCTCGCAGGATGCTGATATTTTTGAGAAAGGGAACAATATCCTTTATTTGTCGTACTTGGTTTGGTGGCTGGCAAAATTCTGCCAGGCCTGAATTAAAGACCACTGGCATTTCCATTAGATGAAATCCCATAGTTTATAGCAGGGGTTCCCAAACTATGGTATGTGTACCCCTGGGGGTGCACAAGACATCTCTGGGGGGTATGCAGGAGACATTGTGTCATGGTGGATTTAATTTTCATTATAATTGGCATTTACGAGGTTAAAATATAAAACGTACGCTGGGAGGGGTATGAAGGCAGCTGGTAAATCTGGTAGGGGGTACGTGCAATAAGAAACAGCTTGGGAAACCTGGTTTAGAGGGTTAAGAGCTCAGGCATTTCACACTGTATCAAGCTGAACTGTGATTCAGATCAGAAAACCCCGTTCTTGTTTAGCTACAGAATGGCAAAAGTGGGGGCAGAGGGGTAGGCACTAAATGCAGGCAACGCATACTGGTTGGCTTTGATAATCTTTTGAACTAGAGCCTAAAATGCAAAAAACTGAAGGTTTACAATTTCTTTTCTTTCAGGCTCTTTCTAGAATTAACCCTCTCAGAAGCAGCATGTAAGGAGCGGGATTGCCAAAATCATTCAGGTGGACAGGCTATGGGAATCATCTTCCTTGCAGGCGAAGGTAGGCCAATAACAAATGGTGAAACCCCATCCCAAATGTGACACTTTAAGGTCCAGAACCTGCCAGGCACAGAATGCCTCTTGCTGACAGCCACAGTTCCCATTTATTTCAGGTACTTAGGGGGAAATTCATCTGATCGTCCACCTTTTTCAGATACTGAGAGAGAAACTGAAACGAGCCGAGTTGGAGTTCGCACACGTTTGCCTTCTGCAGACCATGCACCTGTCTGGAGCAGT